CATACATGTGCAATGCCAATGTGCACAGTGGTCCCACTGTGTGCACATACATGTGCAATGCCAATGTGTACAGTGGCCCCACTGTGTGCGCATACATGTGCAATGTCAATACACACAGTGGGCCTATGTAAATATTTGTAAAGATTCATCAAAATATAAATATATTAGCTCATTGATAACTACTTCGGAAGGAAGATGGAGAGATGGCATTTTCAACCCAATTTCCTGTTCTTTGCCTGAGATAACGCTCTTCTCTCTTACCTACTGATCAATCGTCTATTATCTCTAATTTTTTGTGATAAAATCTTTCATGGATGTGGTAGATTTTTTTTAAGTCAACCAGACTGACCACCCAATGAGCCCTGGAATCCACCCATGTCTCCCTGCCAGGGCTAAAATCACAGATGCATGCTGGGATGCTTCACTTTAACTTGGGGTCCGACCCCAGGTTTTCATGGCAAGCATTTTACCAACTCAGCCATCTCCCCGGGGAAGCTGACTGACATTGACACCACCTAGAAAGCAAGTAGGGGGCTATTTCAAGCTTGCTCACAGAAATCAATGTCAGCTCAGCATCTCTAGTGGCCAGCTCCTTGCCCGGGTGACAGTGTGCTCTCCACTCCTCTCAGTTCACCCGCCTCCTATTACCCCGACAACACGGATCCTAATGGAAGTCGAAGTGTGCCGGAGTGCAGCATAGAAGGGCTGCAGGCTATACTCATGAGACGTTTGGGAGAAAGGAGGTCATTGCAGGTGGGAAAATGCTGTGAGCGTTGGATGACTTCGACTTCCCGTCACTGAAGCCCGGCGTGTGCAGAGGTACAAATGGAGGCCACTGGACACAAGCTGCACTCCACCTGCTGACGGATCACTGAATCCCTGTGGGCCAGCTGGCCCCTCCGCCCAGGCGGTGGGTGCTTACCTCGCCATTGAGCGCTGCTGAGGACTCCTGGCCCCTGTCGGAGGAGGCGGGGTGCACTACGGGCAGAGCTGACGGTTTGATAGCGATGAGCTGGACGGATCCAGAAGACGTGTCAAAGGGATCTGCTGCCGCCTTGCCAGCGCTGTCAAAGAGCCCTGCTCCCTCCTCTTCATCACTCGCTGTCACTAAAGCCAGGCACAGACACGTGGGATTTAATATGTAGGGAGCTACAGGGCTGAGATGTGAGGGATCTCAAAATGCAGAGCCAACAGTGTGTGGCTCTGCCCACGGCTCACTAGTACCCACGGCCTACCTTTAAATTTCCGGTTGTACCATTTAACTTGTTAGTATAGTATCAGTAAGTAGGGAAGAATTTTAAAGGTTGAAGTTAAACAGAAAGAAAAAATTATTTTAAAACAGGGACAAGACACATTTGAAAACAATAAAAAGGAAGTTCATTCTCTATGTTTATATAAATGAGAAACGTGAATTTGGCCAAACCCACATTTATTAAGTCTGCCCACCGCCAGCACAACAGTGTTTAGTCCCGTCTCTGCTGATGAAGCTATCATGTTTCCCACACTAAGTGACAAGTTTGCCCAGGTCAATTAGCCACATGTACTGCTGTGGTTGTTTCTCTCTCTCTCTCTCTCTCTCTCTCTCTCTCTCTCTCTCTCTCTCTCTCTCTCTCTCTCTCTCTCTCTCTCTGTGTGTGTGTGTGTCTTTCTTTCTCTCTTTCTCTCTCTCTCCCTCCCTTCCCCCCGCCCCAAGGCTGTTTCTAAATGACTTAGGTTTTTCATTTTTATTTTTTGTCTATAACAAAAGAAAGCTATGAAAAACCACCAGAGAACTCACTCACAGCTACAGACAACTCCTCTAATTACACGGACTCATTGCCTCCTACGTGCTGGTAAATTAATTCTCCCATCTGACAGAGGGTTCTGCTGTGACGGCTGCAAGACACCAGTTGGCTTTGTGATTCCATAACTAAGCTGACAGAAGGTGCTTCGAGTCCAGCCGTATCTAGCTTATTTACTTGTTTTAAAATCATATTCTCATGAAGTAGGTGTAAGAAGGACAGCTGAACGGGCTCAGCAAGATAAGTTAGGCCTGGTAAAGCAACTGAACTAGCAGGCAGTTTGGAAGCAAAATAGGTGTTGCATAAAATATGAATGTAACTTAAATGTGCTCATCTTTCCTCCTACCTGCTCAAGGGACTTGGGGTGTTATTTAAATTATTGAGAAACCTAGCATGTAGATCTCTCATGATTGTCATTTACAATCACAGATCTGTCAAACTAAAACAAGGAAGTACTTATTTTATAATGTAGCTAAAACAGCTTACAGACCAGGAGTGGGTCATAGATGGATTTCCTTTTTTAAGTTTCATGGACTGGTTTGCAAATACAAGGTCACCAAAGCAGCCAGTGACAGAAGGAAATATCTCTATCAGAAGTGTCACCACACGCACATGTGGTTTTAGAGGGTAGTTTCACTGCATGATATATGCCTGTCCACCTTCATCACCTACTTCCTGGTCAACTACTGCAAAACCCTTCGGTGGTTTTTGTTTCCATGGCATCAGCTTTCCATGCTGGTCCCATTCCCACTGCCCTGACGTTTGTAACCAAGAGAGAAATGATGGTCACATGAACAACATTGTGTTGCTCCCAAGCCTTGGTTATAAAATAGCATGATGGCTTCTCCCTGTTCTCTCTTGGGTCACTTATTCTAGGAAAATCATCCTGCATGTTCAAGCAGCCATATGGAAAGGCATGGTGGCCTCTCACCAGAAGACACACGAGTGAGCCATTTTTTCATGTCTACAGCCCAAGCCAACATGATTGTGACTTTATGCCAGATCCTAGGTCAGAACAACTTCACCAAGCCATTACAAAGTTTCTGACTCACAAACATTATGTAAAATGATAATGCATTTATGGGTAACTTGTTACACGGTGTTGTATAGCAGTTTCCTCTGAGATTAAAACACCCATGCTGTAAGGAAGCTCCTTAAGACAGAAGGTAAACAACTCCAAACAGCTTCAGGAGGTTCCTGGAACTGACTAAATTCATTAGGCCTCTTTCCAAAAAGTAAACAATAGACTGCACTCTCAGAGAGGCTGAGCTGTGCAGGGAAGACTCTGAGACTAGTCTAGCTGCCTAGAAGAAGCAGAAACCAGCCAAACTGCCTGGAAGTTTGAGTCACTTGCAAGGGACATTCTCTGACTTGTGGAGCTTCCTGTAGGCTGTGCAGGGTGCTCCAGGTCTCCTGCTTTTGAGCAGTCACCCATGCTGGGGTGGGCTCTGGTGATGCAGCTGTCTGAGAGTCATTCCTGTAGTAACCCCTCACACTTACTCAAGCAAGCAATCCCCCTTTTCTAGAGATAATATGTTTGGCTTAGAAGTCCAAGTACCTGTACTTGTTTAGAAAGGCATCCTATCTGTTGACTTTTATTTATTTGTTGAGACAGGTATCCTTGAGCCCATGGAAATCTCCCTGCCTCTGTTTCTTGAGTGCTGGGGTTACAGGCATGAGACACCACACCTGCTATCAAGATGGTTTTGTGGTTGTTGTTTTCCTTTCAAAATCCTACCTGTCACACCCAGCCTTTTCACTATATTTAAATAACTTCATGTACTGGGCTCTAAAGTTGCCTCACAGCTAGGCTAATTAGTGAGGCTGTGGAACCACAAAGACCTACACCAGCCATTTTGGTGGTAAAACATTGTGTTGTCCTTCCTTTACAAACTCCTATTCACCAGAGAACAAGAGTCAGAAGCCACACATGCAGCAAGCCTGGTGGAAAACAAGAATGGTCTGTACACTGACATTTATTAATTAATCTAGTGACCCTGGCTCTAGATCGGACATGAGACGGTAGTATTTGAATATTTCACAGGGGCCATATCTGCATACAAAGCATTCAGTTCTTTTTGTAGCCTGTCAGATGATGAAAGATGCACTTCTGTTTTCTCCACAATTCCACTGTTGATACCTTCCTTCCTTTGTTCCATCCCCCATCCAATCACATATATGTTGTATTAACGATGTTCTTATTTAACTCTTACTTCATACGTGAGATGAAACATTTAAGTATCCCAGGAGTATCAGTCACACACTGGTTAATTCACTAATTAACGAGGGAGTAGTCGGGGCTGAACCTGGGGGACCACCACTGTGGTGTGTAATTTTGAAGTAGGGTCTCATTAAGTTGTACAGGTCAGGCTCAGACTCTGGATCCTTCTGGTTCAGGCTTCCAAGCAGCTGAAATTACAGCTGGATACAACACCATGCCCAGCAGGGTTGATTTGTTTTTTTTTTTTTTAATTATAATATGGTTTTTGGTTTTTGGTTTTTAAGTGACAGACTTGTTAGTCAGGCTCACAGGTATACAATGAGCCCCTGAGACTTGTTAAGGGATTAAAAGGAAGGAAGTTGGGGAAAGCCTCCAAGATAGGCAGAATTTTGGAGGTCTGTCAGTCTGTTGGACTTGGAGTTGGAAATCATGACTCTTTACCCCAAAATTAGAAAAGGCTCTAAACAAACATCATTTTGTCCCAAAAAAGTTTTTTTTCCCTCTCAGTAAATACGTACTTTCTTATAAATAGGGGCTGAGGAGGTGAGACTAATTCAGAGAGGATACAGAAATCACTCCAAATTCACAACAGACTACAGGATTCACAGGGCAGAATAGAGAGGCCTGGGATGGATGCACACTGGGTATAAGTCTGCGTATGTGTGCCAGCATGTGTGTGTGCTTACACAGGAGAGGCAGGGAAGGTACTAGATGGGGTGACTTCTCACCATTTCTCTTCCTGGACTCCTCCTTTGTCACTTTCTGCTGTGTCATTCCATTCTGGGGTGAGCGCCTCCCTGAGCTGGGCTTCCCTGATTCGTTGCTGATGACAGAGCCATTCTCACTGGGCGACCTGCTGGAGGTAACCATAGCAACAGGGTAGACAGTAAGTTTCAACTAGAACAGCCTCCTCTCAAGGTTATTTTATTTGCACAGTTTATGTCTGTAGCCTCTCATTCCAGTTTCAGTGGCAAAGAAGAAATGCTATGGGAGAGAAAAGAAACAAAAGCCACCTACGCTTGCACTCACCCACACACGCTCCCAGGTGAGGAGCCCGGCCAGCTGTTCTCAAGTGCATTTACTGTTCTGGGCTCTTTGGAGAAGTTCAGCAAGCCCAGCCCGAAGTCTCATCTCTGTCTCATTAATCCATCACCTTGGTGACTTTGGAAATAGTAGTGACACTGTCTGTGTAGTGTGACCTCCCTTCACACAGCTCTCTGGATGCTGAGTGTTTGAGTCACATGAGCATCCTCAGTCACGCATAAAAACCACACTACTCTTGGCCTATTCACCACAGCACAGACCTATGTGACAACTACAGATTAAATCTCCCCACCATGGGATCTTCTCGCTCGCAGAGCTGCACACCTGCACACTCTTGACTAGTAACTGCTTCTATTTTGAAACACTAATTTGAGCTGCAAATTCCTCCAGGGAAAAAAATATTTTGTTGCTTTTTTCTGTGCAAAGCATCATACGAGTCTATTGACATCTGAGAACAAACAGCTGGGGCACCCTCTATGTGCCAGAGACTGTGTTGAGCGTCTTCAGACCTGGTCACTGGTCATAATAATGGCTGATGATGTGGAGATGGCTCGCCTTGGTCAGAAAGTGAGAAATGTGAAAGTCATGGAGGCCAAGAGTAGTTTCCAGGACTAAGCGAGGTGGCAACAAGTCACCCTCACCTCAGAACCTCCTATATGTCTCAGGCAGCAGCCTCAGATAGGAGCAGGTCATAGGGCCTTCATTCCTTCTTCAGGACTGAACTGTCACCTCTAGAACTCTGGGAAAATGGGCTTCTGACTGCTGCCTCTGGAGGTGTGCCAAGGCCCACCTCAGGTAAATAGTAAAAAGACTGACCTTCCTGTCAGGGCTTGGGAAACGTTCGCTGCATCCTTCTTTGGATGCCTCTAACTTCCTTTGGAGTCTCTAACTCTATCAGAGGCTCTGATCAATTCTGTCATGGATTCATTTTGTTTTATGCAGCATCTCCCAACTTAGGTGGCTGAAAAATCTTTAACATTTTACCATATTAGTTCTACAAAGACTATAGGTGGAAAATATGAATCAGACATTAATTGATTGAATGTACATTTATTACATATATAATTATGTACCCAACAACTATTTGATCACCGTATGCTGCTGGGGGCGGGGGCACACACAGAGACACAGAGACACAGAGAGGAGAGATAAACCCTTGAATTGTTTTCAGAATCTGAAAGCTAACAGCACCTACTCTCCAGCTGGCTTTATTGGATAAAAATATTTTCATTTAACTCTGGGGTGGGGGGAGTATTTTGTAATCTATTTGTCATTTGTAAGCTGCTTAGTGATTTTTGTAACGTTTTCATATCATTTCCCCATTTGATCCTGAGAGAAATTTTTGATGTTTCTCTCACTCTGAGGAAAGGTGTCAATGAGCACATTTCTGTAGAGAGAAAAAAAACATCCAATCTGCCTTATTCTTTGTTTCTGTCTGTGTACCTCTGTTTACAGTGAGTATTCAACTCAACACTCCTCATCAAAATCGAAAGTGTGTGATTTATATGTGCACATGACAGTAGTAAAAGTACCTTTGAAACCTAATACACATCAGCTGTGAGCTTGAGATTTAAGGTTACAAAACTCTGTGGTCCCCTTTCTGAAACTGTGGGTAGATGTGGAACTTGGGTAGGGACTAATTCCTAAACAGCGTGGCTCATCTCTATTTAAGAGACTATTTCAAATGACCATTGTTCCTATGAGTTTGCTTATCAATCACCCTTGATCCAACCCATAATCCCAGCCATAGGACCTGAGCAGATACTGGGCAGCCTAGCTGTGACTAATGCTCAGACTTCTGCTTAAAATAATTTTTTAAAAAATTTAATTATTGCAGGGCAATTATTGCCTTTAATCCCAGCACTTGGGAGGCAGAGGCAGGCAGATTTCTGAGTTCGAGGCCAGCCTGGTCTACAGAGTGAGTTCCAGGACAGCCAGGGCTACACAGAGAAACCCTGTCTCAAAAATTTTTTTTAATTATTAAGTCATTGATTTTTCAGTTACAAAATTTGGGGGGCTGATCTAGCAGACCCATTTGGGAGGACCTGCAGTCAGTCCTATGGACTGAGCTGGAATGAGAAAACTGACTTGACAAGATGCAGAAATCAGAAACCTGGTTGGTAATGGGCCTGCTCTTGGGTGTGGTACTTAAAACCTCACCTCCCTAAATGGAGCTGAAGAGATGGCTTGGTTGGTAAGGTGTCTGCTATGAAAGCAAGAGGACCTGAGTTTGGTGGCGCGTATTTGTAATCCTAGTGTGGGGCTGAGACATGTGCATCCCTGGGGCTTAATGGCCAGTTAATCTACCAACTGGTGAGAGCTGGGTTCAGTGAGTAAAAAGAAGGAGAGACCTAGGGAAGACACCCAACTTTAACTTTTAGCTTCCACATCAATGAGGATTCTCTCTCTCTCTCTCTCTCCCTCTCCCTCTCCCTCTCCCCCTCCCCCTCCCCCTCCCCCTCCCCCTCCCCCTCTCCCTCTCTCCAAATGATCTTAGACTTCCATGATCAGATATACAGGAACAGAGATGGCTCATGTGACAGCCTGGGGGAGGCCACGACCAGTCCTTAGCTAAGTTACATTTTTATGATGAGATAATGAAGCAAGGGTAGAAATCGTGCTGCAGTGTAGCTGCCCACCCCCCATTTCATAAGCTAGCATTTCTTGATAAAAATGGGAATAAATAATTGAACTCAATTAGTAAGATGTGACTCCTTGCTAACTCAAGGAGAAGTGCTTGTTTTCAAACAAGTTTCAAAAAACTAATCCCTACAGAATTTAAATTACTCAATTTGAATAGGTAGAAAAGAATTTTTATTCTTCCCAGAAATGCTACACCAGTATCTGCATTTAATAACTCTCCCTTTTCAGTTTCTTTAAGTGGGTGATAAGCCGTCAACATAGCTTTACTGTGCTTGGCAAGGATCATCACAAGAATAATATTATAGGGAATACAATGGATGAGTCTTTCAGATAAACTGTCTGCCTTATGCGTGCTGCAATTCTTCTTGGTTTACTACCCATGCCGAATAGACCATTGCAGTAACTGAACAAACTTCGTTCACACCTCCATGCAACCTAACTTTGGGAGTCTTCTATGGTGTCTCCAAACTTGATCATGTGACTTGGTTGGCCAACAGGAAAGAAATAAACATGACAGACAGCGACTCAAGAAGTGTTTGTATTTGGGGCTGTTTTTCTTTCTGCCCTTGGATCCTCACCTTGTGAAAAAGCCTGGTGGAACTAGTCTGCTAGAACACAAGTCCATGTGGAGACAGGACGGAGCGTTCCAGGCCACCCTCAGACATGGCTGTCAGCAACAAGGTAGCCTAGTTGACTCAGTTTCTATTGATTGATGTGCAGGTAATTCCTGATAACGTCAGCTAGCCTGGCTACACTGGAACCATGTAGCAGAGCTCAAGCTAGTGACCCACCTGAATCATGAGCTGAGTCGTGGCAGTTTGTTTGAAGCACTGAAGTTTTGGGGTGATCTGTTATGGGCAAATTGATAACGAATTCATATGAGCTCTGCCTTATTTTCCACATGAGGTGGAATCTGCCCCTCTGCTCTTCTTTCCTTTGTTTTAAGAAGCCAAGGGCTTCTAGAGTAAAACAGCACCTGGTTGCTTGACTTTAGTGCAGAATTTCTGTATTTGATACGGACAACCCCTTCTTCCGAGAATCGCTGTCTCTTGGCCTCTCCTCTCCTGTCTTCCTCTCATCTCTATTTGCATTTTCACTTTCCTTTGCTGACTCTTGATCCTCTTCTGTACCTCTAACCACTGTGGTGCTGTCAGGGCTTAGTTCTTGGAGCTCGTCTTCCCTTCTGTTCCTAGCCCCTCCTAGGTGACTCTTTCTAGTCTAACAGGGATACAGCACTCCACCAACTCGCTATTATGTCTACTCTGAGCCTCTCCTGAGAACTCCAGACTCATGGAGAATGAGCTCCAGAATCACTGCTAAGGATCCGTAGCACTTTCATTTGTGTACCTACCAGTGACTGATATGTTCATCTCCCCACAGGCTTCGCTAACACAAACGCATGGCAAAGACATTTCCAAATCCTACAGCCACCTGCCACCAGCTTCCTTCACGGCATTAACAGCCCATGCACGATCACTCTCTGTCCATGTCACTGTTCCTTACCTGAGCCTCCTGGGGTTTCCTTCTACCCTGACTCTCTCTAGTCTGTTTTGTACACAGAGCCAGAGAACCTTTTCTATACCACAGCATGTCTTTCTCTTTTCCAGCCCTCCCATGGCTTCTGATCCTTATCTACAATACCAACCCCAGTCTGACTTCAGTCTCTAATAGATGATATGACCAGCCACGGGCAGCTTCTGTGACTTGTGTGCTGCCATTTCCTCCCTGGTGCACACTAGCCTTCTTGACCATATTGCTTTTCTTCAGGCATGTCAAGAATTCCCCTCCTCTGGACTTTGCACACAGTGCTCCATCTGCTTGGAACATTGCTCCCTCAGCAAGCTCCATGGCCGACAAGTCATGTCAATGGTGTCTTTTTCAAATGCCACTAACTGTTAAGGTCTTCCCTGGTTTCCTGTCTAAACCAGTACTCCCCCTTTCTCCCTACCAGACACATTTCTACAGTCCTACTGATGTCAATCAAAGAGCTCTGGTTATTTTTCCTTTCTTTTTTCTCTTTTTCCATCTTCATGTGCATGTGGTATACAAGAGTGTGTACGAGTGTTTGCATGTGTGTAAGCACAGGCATGGGTGTGCATGTGTGTGTGGAGGTTTGAAGTTGATATCACTCACCATCGTCAACTGTGTCAAAGAGCTTTTTGCTCATAGTAGATACTCAGCATGGGGTTCTGAGTGAAAGACAGTAGCTTTACTGAGACACTGCTGGGGAAACACACAACTGTCATGAATCCAAGCTACCCTTTAGAGGTGCTAACAATGTATGACATCAGAGCCAAGTTTGTTGTCATAAATAGAAGGGCTTCCTTGACACTGCTATGGCTGATCAACCACAAGTCCTCATGAGGGCGGCTTTCACGAAGCGGGCATTGATTCCCACCTTCTTTCTGCTCTCCTTTTCAATATTCAGGGCGAGCACAAGGGAGTTTTAAACAGAACAGTGGAGTTCACCTGAGGGCCATAGCTTTCACCATCAGCTATTTCTCTTGCTGACAAAAGGATGGAATCTGGCCATGCCTACCTCTTTCTGGTTTCAGTGGACTTAGCCGTCTTGATAGTGCTGCCGTCCTGAGCCGTGTCTCTTTCCTGAGGAGTATCTCTGACAGGTATGGGGAGGACCACCGTTTCCTGAGTCACAGGGATGACCTCCTCATCTGCCCCTTGCTGGCCCAGATGCTGCTTGGCATAGTCAAAGCCTTGCACAGGCTGTGAGGAGGAAGAAAGGTTGAGGTCATACTTCTAGAGAAGTTTCTCTAACAACAGCTTTGAGAAGAGACAGACAGTAAAATATATGTGGTGGGGTCAAACCCAGCTTTCTACTGTATGAAAGTTAATTCAAATCTGCATATCATTTTTCTTACGAAATCAGAATCCAAGTTAATTCTACAGGATTAAGAATCTCCACAGACCAGGCTATCCTGTTGCTTGTCTGTGGGATATGTGGGCTGCCTTGTCTAGCCGCAGTGGGACAGGATGGCCTAGCCTTACGGAGACTTGATGTGCCAAGGTGGGAGGATACCCAGGGGGGCCCCCACACACTCAGAGGAGAAGGGTAGGGGGATGGGTAAAGGATTGTGGAAGGGGTGACTGGGAGGGGCAGTGAGCAGGAAGTAAAATGAACAAGTAACAATAAAATAAAATGGAATCACCACAGGTACAATTTGTTCAGAAAACTGAAGAGTAGAAACAAGATGCGATCGGTGTTGGACAGGAAACCTCTTTCAAGGACTCTACACCACTCACTTTAAGTCAATAAATGCCGCTAATTAGAACCAACTCATCGTGGGTATGTTAATCAAGGTATGGCAGGTTCCATATTGTCCCCCGCCTAGAAATACCTAGTTATCCCTGTGTGTGACAGTATGTACTCAATTTTACCAGGGCAGCAGGACTACAAACCTTAACCTTCTCATCCAAGAAATGAAGGCTGTCTGTTTTGCTTTACACCCACCCTTTGCTTAGTAAAGCAGAGCACAGATCTGAGTAGTAGGAGATATGTCACCAAGCATAAAGCTACAGTCATTGAATAGCACTTGGAATATAGGGAATCAGTTTTTAACCCAAACTTCTCTTGGAAGCATGCTGCCTCTGATGTCAGTCATCTTGGGATACAGCAAGGCTTTGCCAGTATCTGAAACTCCAACTGGATGAAGCAGCCTCAAACAAAATCCAACAACCATCTATTAGTGGGGTGGTAAAAACAAGAGGCATGTGTAGCCATCCCTGGGTGTGTTGCTGTTGCCATGGGGATAAATCAGCAATGCAAGTTAGGGTCAAATGCCTGATATATACTAAGTGCTCAGTCTGTGTAGGATATTGCTATTTGCTTCCTTGCTAGGTGACAGCCCATGTGATTATCATCAAGAAAACATGGAGACAAAACTCACTTGCTACCATGCAGGTCCAACCATTAAGACATCACCTTGTCATTTATAAAGTTCACACTCAAGAACTATGCAATCAAGTAACAAAAATTAAGTCTCAAAACAAGCAAGCAAGCAAACAAACAAACAAACAAACAGAGAAACAAACCTAGATACTATTTAAGTAAGTCTATGATTTTGTGTCAGGTTATATTGATTGCTGTCCTGGGGCACACGGGAACTACAGGTTGCAGGTTGGGCATACCTGGTAGACTCTATCAGAACTTGTTGCCATTAGTCCCTCCTCCCGCAGCAGCTAATGAGGCTAGGGGTGCAAGAGGAGTGTTCCTGCCTGGTTTAAGTTTTGGCTTTTGTGATACTGGGGAATTTAGCCTTCCGCCTCATGCAGGCTAGGAAGGCACTCTATCGCTGAGCTATATCCCTGGCCTTGCTCTAACCAGATTTAAAACGTCACACTCTGGATTGGATGACAAACCTGTCATACCTCACTGCTGTGTTCCAGAACAGGGTCAGGGGTTTACTGTTATTCCAGCAAAGCTTCTTTACCAGAGCTACATGGAGCTTCATAGTGGACAGTTCCTCAGCTCCCTGCAAAGCTCAGCCTGGAAATAAGTTTACCTGAGACAGTCTCCTGAGTATGACCAGTGGCATTCTGAGGCCAGGACCTGGTGACTGGGTTTCTGAACTAGTGACTGCTAAGAAAAGACATCTCTCTTTCCCCTCTTCATCCTCAGTTCCACATGGTGCAGAATGGAGTCTACAGAAGTCTCTAGAACACAAATCCACTGCTCCTCAAACAGCTATGTTGGGCCACACAGGGCTCAACTTCTGGACTATTCCAGGACCACGGTTCCAGGCCACCCGTGACAGACCTCCAAGGTTCTCTTCCTTTAACCCCTGTCTTCTGGTGCCACTCCCTCTTGAGAAGCATTTTGTAGCATTCATGCTCTTGGCAAAGGCATTCAAGGCCTAGTACATTTGGCTGAGCCTTATTTCCTGTGCACTCCTTTCTAGCCACACAACTTCACGTTCCCTGTTATTCTGTTCAGCTTCATGTTCACAATACTAGTTTATGTTGCGTACTTCGGTGTGCGTACTGTGGTGTGTGCTGGAGCTACAGACTGAGCAATAGCTGGTACTGACCCTCAAGGGGCTCACGTTTCAGTCTCCTGCGATGCTAATGGCACAGCAGAGAGCACACTGTATGAACCACACCACTGCATCCTCGTGGTGGTCACAAAGGTGGGCGGTACCTTGGGCCTCTGTTATAAGGAGAAGCTGGGATTTGGAGGGGTTAGGCACTCTACTTCAGATCACATTGCTGGTCTGAGATGGAGCCAGAATTTGAATCCAGGACTATGCTGATCGAGGTTCAAAAACATCTAACCACTAGTCATTGATTCACCCCGAATTCCTCTTTCCCTTCTGCCCTCAGCATCTTATCTGGGCATCATTTACTGTGCCCAGCCTGGTTGCTGTCCTGACTGATACTATGGGGTATGAGAGGTCTCCAGCAGCCAAGACTAACCAACCCAGTGATGGAAGGCTCGGTTCCCTTCTTCATTCTCTGCCTGTGTTCTCTCTCGATTTGGCCCCTCCTCCTTCACACATTTTATCCACTGGATATGTCTGAAGTCTGGGTCACTTATGAGTGGGTGAAAAGAGAGGTATTAAGAAATGACAGCTTCCCAGATTATCATTGTTAGCAACTTAATCATTAAAAAAAAACAGTTCAGCACATAAAACATTGATTTCTCTTTTTGTTTTCATGACAAACTCATGATGGAAGCAAGGTAAATGATAGTCTTCATATTATAAGAAAAATACAAAAGCTCAGAGAGTGTCAGTGAGTACCCAGGAAAACACAGCAAAGAGGTAAAACTTGAGCCTATCTCCTGGATTTAGACTCTCCAGACCATGCGCTCAACCTTTCACTTGAAAATTACCTAAGATCAATCCATTGCTTACTTGACACATATTGGTAACTTGAAACCTCAATAATCAATATCACTCTCATATCATATCATATATACACTAGCCAAACCAAAAAGAACAAATTTCTACACTAGGGATATATAGTTTAGTGGCAGAACACTTGCTTGGCATCCACAAGGCCCTAGGTTCAATCCCTGGTACCACCACTACTAGAGTAGTAGTGGTACTCGCCAATTGTTTTAAAGGCAGACCGTTACGTTACTTTTTAAGACAAAAGTACATGAAACAATAAAAGTCAATTTGTATGTGATATTTACTATAAACCAGATATAGCTTAAAGCAATGTACAGACCTTCATCCACTTGATTTTTACCACTGTTTATCCATAAATAGTGCTACTATCCCTATTTGACTGATGGGAAATTTGAGGCACAGAGAGATAGTGTAACTGTGCTGAGGTCGTATAGGGAGTATGTGAGAAAGAGGAACACAGTGGCTTTTCTTAGGGGATGAACAACCTGTCCCAAGCAGTTAGTGCCAGCCACCACAGGCCCTGCAAGCTCCACCCTGCGTCTGGGTGGGCTCTAACAACTTTCTTCTGAAAGACACCTGTCCCCAATGTTTTTCTTTATATGAAGAAAAGGCTGGAGGGAAAGGCTACAAATTCACAGACAAAGAGCAGTGACTAAAAAGAAAGGCAATAAGGGAAGCCATGCCATGTTCTCAATGCTCTCCCTGTAGATGTCCAGTTAATAACCATGGCAACAGGGCTTGTCTGTATGCCTTGTCTTTGAAGAGGGTGTATAATCCTCACTTTGGCCTCAGCTCCCAGAAAAGCCTCACTCACCTTCTCTGCTTAGCATGTTAAGTATATTACTGAGTCTCAGGAGGGGTCCCCAGGATCTCCTCTGGCTCTGTAGTCTGCAGTGAAGTCCCTGGGGCCATCTGCCTTGGCTACCAATTGGTCACCATGGCTAACTTTCTTACTGTGCCTTGCCCCTCATTGAATTCTGCTCACACTTTCAATGCAGCAGCTGCCTCTCAAACACTGCAGTGTCCCCGACTCTCCCCAGCAGGACTGCAGCACCAGGCAGTTCCACTCTGCTGGCTTCCTGCGACAAAGGGGCTTTGGGAATTACAGTGTCTCACCCAGCCTCACTGTGGGAGAGACAGCTGCCTGAGCTACAGGAGCATAAGCACTCGGCTCATGGGACAGACACAGGTCATCTTGATTTTCAGCAGCAGGTAAAGATTTCAAGAAGCTCGGTGCCTGGGGTAGGCACACAGAAGGAGCTGTACAGAGCCAGCAACATCTCATCTGTTCTAGCTCCAGAGAGCTCTCAAGCCAGGAGGGATGCTGCTCATACAGGCAGATGAATGAAGAGTTTGGGTTAACTCAAAGCTTCCCTTTCCAACTCCAGTATGGCCTGTTTTGCATTCCTGGCCTCGGCTGTGATTCTGGTAATTGCTTGTTATGTCTAAAAAGACTCACGTCGTAAGCAAGCTCAGATGGAAATGAAATATTCTGTCTTGGAGCAGTCTCATTTTTCACAGCTCGGCAATTCCCAGTGTACCCTTCCCTCCAGCTCCGTACTGAGTCTGGGAAGCAGGTGCCTTATGTCAACAGACACAGAACATTCTTTGGGGGTTGGTGCCACAGGAGACAAGACTGTCTAATCAGGCTCCAGCTTCTCCACAGATGTACCCGCTTGCTATGTAATAAAAGTACCTCTGATTTCTTACACTCAAGTGAGCTGTGTTCATACAGACAGACCAGAGGCCAGTGTGACTCTCCAAGCTGTGTGGCCGACACAAATCGCAGTGTGCAGGAAGTCAGAGGGAGTGGGAACTTGCTGTCCCATGTCTACACAGCCAGATGGAGGTTAGAGGTTCAGAACTGGGAGCAGAAACCCGGCCAGGTCTGAGAGTGTGGGTAGGTACATAATGTAGAGTAAGCTCCAAGAGGGCCGAGGAGATGGCTCTGTCGCCAGGCTGCCTGCTGTGCAAGAATGAGCTTGGGTCTCTAGAGGCCATGTAAATGCTGACTGCAGTGGCATGTATGTGTGTCCCTGAAGCTGGCAGGGGAGGACTGAAACCCGCCAGCCTGGCCTCATTTAGTAAGCTTTTGGTTCAGAGACTGAAAAAACAAAAATGACAAGTGATAGAGGAAGACACCTCTACTGATATAAACTCTGGTCCCATATGCACATACTGCATGTGCACACACTGACATGTATATACAATGGACACACATGCATGCGCACACAACATACATGTGCACATGTACACAACACACATGTGCATACACATACATGTATATACACATACATACATGTGTGTGTACACACCACACACATGCGCGCGTGCATGTGCACACCCATATTAACAAATACACACAAGATGTGCATGTGAGCACGTGCACACACACGTGCACATGTACACAACACACATGCATGTGCATGCGCACACACACATGTATACAACACACACGCACATACACACATGTGTGTGCACACACCACACACACATGTGTATGCACACCCACATTAACAAGTACACACAAGATGTGCATGTGAGTGCATGCACACACAAATACATACACAGAGAGGGAGAGGGAGAGGGAGAGGGAGAGGGAGAGGGAGA